TCTGGACATTTCCTGGACTTTTCTGAATTTTTCTAGATTTTTTCCGATTTTTCTGGACTTTTCTGGGATCGTTCTGGACTTTATCGGGTGTCTCTCCCTACTCTCTGCCTTTTTATTCACTTCGATTCACATTCTCTGCCTTTTTTTGGACTTTGAATTTTTGCAGGTTCCCTTAGTGCATGAACAGACGTCCCACTCGAAGACAACTTGACCCAGATTTTGAGCTTGCCTTTGACCCGGACATAGACAGAACCGAAAGGGAAATCCGCAGAAAACGAAGAGAGGACAGAATGGCAGAAGAGGCAGCAAGGGGTGAGACACAGCCAAGAGAGCACGTCCGAGCTAATCTGCAGACGCTTGAAATGTTCACGACGCCCAAGCATACTCAGTTGCTTTCGTGCATCAACCGACCACCCTTAGACCATTTTGAGCTGCAGCCACAGTTCATTCAGATGTTGAATCAGATGAGCTTCAGAGGGAGATATAACGAGGACCCGAATTCCCATCTTACACAGTTTAAGATGTTGTGTCGAACCATCAAGAAGCCGCCAGGCGTGACAATGGAAGACGCGATGATCGAGGCATTTCCTTTCTCTCTTATGGACAAGGTGCGAGATTGGCTCTATACCTTGGAGCCGAATTCCATTTCCGCATGGGACGAGATGGAGGAGAAGTTTATGATGAAATATTACTCTCCCATGAAGACGCAGCTGGCCTTGAACAAGATCAACACATTCGCCCAAGACGATAATGAGACCTTGTATGATGCTTGGAAGAGGTTCAAGGAGTATCAGAGAATGTGTCCGTACCACGGTATGGACAATAAGTATCTTCTCTCTACTTTCATACATGGCCTTAAGGACGAACGAGAGGATGGGTTGATGCAGCATGCGGAGGCAGTGTGTATGATCTCTCTTTCGGGGCTTTAGAGGCGCAGATTGCTAAAATGGCAAAAGGGAGAAGTATTTCAGGGGCAATGGGCAACAGACGGTCTTTGCCTAAGGCTGATGTCAAAGGGGATGCTAGCGAGTCTTCCGCTTTACAAGCAGTTCTTTCGGAGCTTTCTGCCATTAAGCTACAACTTGCTAGGTCCGGTTCATCAGACCCGCAGAAGGGTAAACCGGGCATGTATATGGTGGAACAAGCAGAAGAAGCCATAGAAGAATCGACTATGTGGGAAGAAATCAATATAACAATCAGTCCAACTTCTACAATCCGGGGAGTCAGAATCACCCTGGCTTTTTCTATGGCAACCCACAAGGAGCGTTGAACCCTCAGCATCAAAGCGGAACGAAACCTCAGGGATCCCCGGGATTTCAGCCTAGATATCAGAATCAGGGGTATCAGAATCAGGGTCAGGACTACAATCAGAGAAATCAAGGATACAGAGCCCATCCGCCTCATACTAAGGAAGAAGAGTCGGAGTTAAAAGTCAATGTTAGCTCAGCTAATGAATGATCAGAGAAACTCATTTTCTAGCCTAAGTCAAGAGATGCAAGGATTCAAGGGGAAGCAAGAGAGATTTGAGCAGAGATTGGATGGGATAGATTCACATATCAAGATGATGGACAGCAAGATTGCTCAGCTTGCTTCCCAAGCTGCGAGACCTCAAGACCAATTTCCGGGTAAGGCTGATCCTAACCCGAGGGAACATATTAATGCTATAGGCTTGAGAAGCGGAAGACAGCTTCCGGAGACCTCCCCAGTTGTCAGAGAAGAGGGAGAATGTTCACACGAACCTCAGAGGGCCGCCTTAGATAAAGGCAAGGGCCATGTTGTAGAGGGGGAAGAGGCGAGGTATATTTCGCCTCCTCCACAGGCACCCCCTCTACCATTTCCATCTCGGACAAGGAAGTTCAACGAAGATAGCCAGTTTGCCAAGTTCACCGAGATGTTGAAGAAGCTAGAAGTGACCATGCCTTTTCACGAGGTAGTTCTTCAAATCCCGTCTTACACTAAATTCTTGAAGGACATTCTTACGAAGAAGAGGGCGGTTGAGAAGGAGACAGTGGCACTTAGCACCGAGGTGAGTGCTGCCATATTGCAGACGGAGTTACCGCAGAAGATGGCTGATCCCGGTAGTTTCTCCATCCCGTGAAAATTGGGGAATGTGGAGATTGAGAGGGCGCTTTGTGATTTGGACGCAAGTGTCAGTTTGCTGCCTCTCTCCATATTTAAGAAACTTAATGTCAGTGAGCTAAAACCGACAAGGATGGCACTGCAATTGGCCGACCGATCAGTGAAGTATCCCGCTGGGATTTTAGAGGATGTGACTCTTAAGATAGGGGAACTCTATGTCCCCGTCGACTTTGTGGTTCCGGAGGATTCCAAAATTCCCATCATACTTGGTAGGCCGTTTCTGAATACAGCTGATGCGTTGTGCATGTCAGAGAGGGTAGACTCACGATGAAGATTGGTGATGAGACGGTTGAGTTCAGACTTGATCAGAATCTTAAGTAGCCGCATTTGGTGGAGTCTTCCTTCTACCTGGACTTGATCGACACATTAGTTGACGAAGTGAGGGATGAATTCAGAGATTCAGATCCCCTTCAGATGGCATTGAACGTGGTACAAGAGAGCGTGTACTGCGATTGGGAGGAAGTTCAGAGCATTGTTCGGACTTTAGATGACAGCCCATCGATTGAGCTTGAGGGCTGGAAATACAGGGCCGTTGAGCCCTTATCTTGTTATGCCCGCGAGTTCCCTTGGCTAAGGGACGAGGAAAATGGAGAGGAGCCATCACCTTCTCCGAGTCATCAAGCTCCGGTTTCCTCCATACAAGTCAAGCAACCTGATGTGGAGACGAGTGAGAAGAAAGATTGGGATCCACAAGGGCTTAGGTATGAATTCCTCGGACCTAATTCCACTTACCCGATCATTGTGAGTGCTGCTTTGACTGATGTGGAACTAGCTGAATTAGTTGCATTACTTAGGGAATATAGACAATCCTTGGGTGACACTCTAGACGAAATTAGAGGTATTAGTCCATCCCTTTGCATGCATCGCATTCATCTAGAGGATAGCTCTAAGACCTCCATCGAACATCAACGTAGGTTAAACCCGACCATGAAGGAGGTAGTGAAGAAGGAAGTGGTTAAACTGTTAGATGCGGGTATCATTTACTCGATTTCGGATAGTGCATGGGTTAGTCCCGTGCAAGTTGTGCCAAAGAAGGGGGGTATCACTGTGGTAGAAAATGAGCATAACGAACTGATACTCACTACGACGGTCACGGGTTGGAGGATATGCATTGATTATAGGAAGCTGAATTCGAACACCCGGAAGGACCATTTTCCTTTGTCCTTCATCGACCAAATGCTAGAGAGGTTAGCCTTGCATTCCCATTTCTGTTTTCTTGATGGCTACTCGGGATTTTTCTAAATCCCCATTCACCCTAGCGACCAGGAGAAAACCACATTTACATGTCCATATGGCACCTTCGCATACCGTAGGATGCCTTTTGGTTTATGTAATGCACCAGCGACATTTCAGAGATGCATGACTGCTATATTTTCTGATCTTATCGAAGATGTTATGGAGGTGTTCATAGATGATTTTTCCGTCCATGGGCCCTCCTTTTCTGTGTGTCTAATGAATTTGCGCCGAGTGTTGGACAGGTGTGTTGAGGCGAATGTTGTGCTGAATTGGGAGAAGTGCCATTTCATGGTCCAAGAGGGCATCGTGCTAGGCCACAAGATTTCGAGCAAGGGGATTGAGGTTGACCGGGCTAAGGTCAAAGTGATAGAGAAGCTGCCGCCTCCACGGAATGTTAAGGGAATCCGGAGTTTTCTGGGACATGCCAGGTTCTATAGGAGGTTCATCAAGGACTTCTCGAAGATTTCAAGGCCTTTGACCGAACTGCTTGCAAAGGACGTGCCTTTTGAGTTCACCCATGAGTGCCAGGCCGCCTTTGAGACTCTGAAGAAGGCGTTGATCTCCCCGCCCATCATTCAACCACCGGATTGGGAAGCTCCCTTTGAGCTTATGTGCTACGCCAGTGATTTTGGCAAGAGTCGACCAGTGCGTTCATACCAGCACTAATGCACCGGATCCCATCAGAACTCCGGGGGGCTGTGTTGGGTCAGAGGAGAGACAGAAAGCTCCACGCCATATACTATGCGAGTAGAACCTTAGACGATGCTCAGATGAATTATTACACGACCGAAAAGGAGCTACTCGCCATAGTATTTGCCTTTGAGAAGTTTCAATCCTACTTGGTCGGGTCGAAGGTAATCGTCTATACCGACCATGCTGCTTTGAGGTGCCTTCTGTCCAAGAAAGACGCCAGACCTAGACTGATTAGATGGGTGCTCTTGCTGCAAGAGTTCGACTTGGAAATCAGGGATAGGAAAGGTACAGAGAATGGAGTGGCCGACCATCTTTCCCGAATTGAATGCCATGAGAAGATTCCGATTAATGATTGTCTTCGGGATGATCACGTGATGGCGGTACAAGTCAGGGAGAGGGACCCGTGGTACGCAGATCTTGTTAACTTCATTGTCAGCGGGTACACTCCTCACGAGCTTGCCTATAACGGGAGGAAGCGGTTCTTCAGAGACGTCAAGGAATATTTCTGGGAAGAACCCTTCCTTTTCAAAAGAGGCAAGGATGGCCTCTTAAGGCGATGTATTCCCGAAGAGGAAGTCCAAGGCGTGATTCATCATTGTCATTCTTCGGACTATGGAGGTCATTTCGGAGCGTCGAAAACCGCAGCGAAAATTCTTCAAGCCAGGTTTTATTGGCCTTCAATGTTTAAGGACATTCACCAATACGTCTCTTCTTGCGACCCTTGCCAAAAGACCGGGAATATATCACGCTGCCACGAGATGCCTCAGCACTACATCTTGGAAGTTGAGCCCTTCGATGTTTGGGGAATCGTCTTCATGGGACCATTCCCGTCTTTCTATGGGAATCAGTACATTCTAGTGGCGGTAGACTATGTCACCAAGTGGGTGGAAGCGATGGCGAGTCCCACTAATGACTCGTAGGTGGTGACTAAGATGTTCAAGAGGGTGATCTTTCCAAGATTCGGGACGCCAAGGGTCGTGATCAGTGATGGAGGATCTCACTTCATCAACCGCACCATCGAAGCTCTTTTGAAGAAGTATGGTGTGAAGCATAAGGTGGCTACCCCGTATCACCCTCAAACGAGCGGGCAAGTTGAAATCTCAAATAGGGAGATCAACGCGATACTTGAGAAAACGGTGTCAAGGTCAAGGAAAGATTGGGCGATGAAGCTTGATGATGCTCTATGGGTGTATAGGACAGCCTTCAAGACACCCATCGGTATGTCTCCCTTCCAATTGTCTATGGGAAAGCTTGCCACCTTCCATTTGAGCTTGAGTACAAAGCTCTTTGGGCGATCAAGAAGATGAATTTTGATTGGAAATCGGCCGCGGAGAAGCGGATGTTAGAGCTTCATGAGCTTGATGAGATTCGGATGGATGCGTATGAGAACGCCCGAATCTACAAGGAGAGGATGAAGAAGTGGCATGATCGCCGTGTATTGCAGAGAGCATTCAGAGATGGTGACCAAGTGCTCCTCTTCAACTCTAGATTTAAGCTCTTTCCGGGAAAGCTAAAATCGCGTTTGTCGGGACCGTTCACAATCAAGAAGGTTTATTTCCATGGAGCGGTAGAGTTATACGGTCACGCTAGAACCACATTTAAGGTGAATGCTCAAAGGTTAAAGGTCTATAACCCTGGAGAACGAGACATAGAGAGAGGCACATTACGCTTCTCCGATCCAGTTGAGCAATAGGAGAAAACACGGTCAAGCTTAAGACCTTAAACAAGCGCTCTCGGGAGGCACCCCGAACTTGTACATATCCTTTTTAGTATCCTTTTTACATTTGCATATCACTTAGAATCATTTAGGTGCATTGATCAGGTTTGATTTATGCTAATGATGGTGTTGATATCGCGCATAATGTTTTGATATTTCCAAGCGGGCATAATTTTCCTTGCGGTTTACAGTTGCGAACTTCAATACAAGAACATACGCGGAAGAGGAGAAAATTCTGGCGAAAAATCTGGGCAAAGTGACTTGGTCAGCCCCGGACCAGTTCTTGGTCCGGCGGACCAAGTCACCCCGACACGAGCGGACAGACGGACCGAGGAGACGAAACTGACCAAATGAGGCGCTGGAACGTGTGGTCAGCCCCTGACCAAACATTGGTATGGCTGACCACGGACTCGACACAGCCTGCTCAAAACGGACCGGAAACACGGACTGAGTAAGTATGTCCACTCACTCAGCCCGGACCAAAGTTCACTCAACGTGTGACACCCGAATCCCGCATTCCGTATACAGGATATGCCACATGAACAAATACCGATAAAATATAATAAACCCAAAAGTACGGGAAATTAAAAATCATTTTTACATAAAAGTACGCAGCGGAATAAAACCATCACACATTTCTTGAAAACCACACTTGTCCAAACACACAATTAAACACACCATTCCACACAAAACCTTGTTCCACAAACCAAAACGTACAAAAACAGGATTAATTAACCGTACATCAATGATGTCTTCACAAGTTGTCGTCGTCCACAGTGCGCTACTCGTGCTCCTCGGGATCTGAAAAATTCAACAACGGAGGGCTAAGCAAAAGCTTAGTGAGCAGCTCGGGTTGAGCTCGGAGAGCCCATTCTCATGGAGAACGGTGCCGACTGGTCTCTCGATACAAGAATTCGTTTTTTTTTTATCCATTTAACCCTTTATCTTTAATCTTCCTAATACATTACCATTATTTCACACATTTTTCGATACCTGATAGTACTGACTCAAGTCGTCCACCGGCACTATCAGGTACCGTTCCTTTCGGTATTATCTAGTACTGACTCAATTCGTCTACCGGTACTAGACTTTACCCTGCTTCCCTATAATAGTACTGACTCCACTTCGTCAACCGGTACTATCATAAAGACGACCACTCAGATCCACCAGTACTGACTCCACGCCGTCAACCGGTACTGGCTTCACTATACATTTCCTTAACGGTACTGACTCCAAGTTCGTCAACCGGTACCGCTCCAGAAACGTCCACCCAACTATACCAGTACTGACTCCACATCGTCAACCGGTACTGGTATTCCATTTCGGTAATAGTACTGACTCCAAGTTCGTCAACCGGTACTATTACCGAAACCACATAACATCCAGTGCTGACTCCAAGTTCGTCAACCGGCACTGGTTCCAAATCTGTACATCCCCGTACTAGCACTGACTCACGCCGTCAACCGGTACTAAGTACGGGGTTCCGTAATCATTCAATCACATGCATCATCATAATTATTTATCCGTTATTTCTATATCGCAATCCGAGTACTTCTCTTAAATTTACCCTTCGTATCCATTCGGTTTAATTCCTTTCTTCTATTTACTTTTACCTTTTTCACGCTCGTTCATCCTTATTTTATCCTATTTCGTCTAAATACCATTTTTCATCGTATCACCGTTTAGTCCATTTGATTCTATAGTCGGGGTTGCGGCCAGTCCGTTCGGTCCACTACGTGGACCGAACGGTCCAGCGATTTTGAGATTTTTCACTGTTCAAAGTGCCTAGACCGTCCGTTCTACAGGGCAGACCGTCCGTTCTACATGGCAGATCGTCCGTTCCACGAGGACAGGGCGGACAATCCGGTTTTCTTCGGACCGTCCGTTCCATAAGGTCCAGAACGGGCGGTCCAGCTAACCAGACCGTCCGTTCTCCGTTATTTTCTGGACCGGACGTTCCGGGTTCTGTTGGATCAGTCGTTCTAGTTTGTTTATACACGTTCGTTCTGCTGAGTCCCAGAACGGACGGTCTACGTCCGTAGACCGGACGGTCTGGGACCCAGAACTTCGTCTTCCTCACGATTTCAGTCCGATTTTTCACCATTTTTGCCCAAATTCTAATCCGATTTAAGAGCTAATCGTTACCCACTCAATACTTAACATCCCTAGGTGCTTAACTCTTGCAGAATCACTAGTCTACACCATAAATCATGAAAATAGAATCTCTCAAACTCAATCCGAACCACTCACCTCGGATTCCTTGTGAGATGTGTTTTTCTCCGAGCTCGTACGAACTCTCTGGGTTGTTTCACGCCGTGAAACCTTCCAATAACCTTCTACGCCCGCCCCTCTAGGATTCTCCGAGCTCGTTTTGTCTCCAATCTGCTTCTCTCGCTCTCACTTCCTCTCTTTTTCGAATTCCAGTTTTCTGAGCATAGATGACCGACTCAACCTGTTGGAGGGGTTAAAACGACGGATTTTCGTGAGGTCTCTGGCCCTAGGACAGGTCAAGGGGTCCGTTCGTGTTGCGCACTAGACAGGGGTGGCGGCTGGTGGCGCGTGGGGTCGGGATGTCGCGCAATAATCGCGGCCGAAAGGTGGAAGAAAGTCAGCCTTTTTCGGCGTTTTGCTCCCAGGACCCTAGACCGTCCGTTCTGCTGTTGGACCGTCCGTTCTGCTTCGCGAACGGGCAGTCCGTCCGTTCCACCCACTAGACCGTCCGTTCCGCTTTGCGAACGGCAGTCCGTCCGTTCCACCTTCTGGTCCGTCCGTTCTGCCTCTTGGTCCGTCCGTTCTACCCCCTAGTCCGTCCGTTCTGTACCGTTTTTTTTCGTCTTTTCCTCCGTCTTTCGCTAGACCGGTCGGTCTACCCCTAGACTGATCGGTCTACGCCCTTTTTCCTTTGTTTGTTCGACGTTTTCGACGCGTTCGAGTCCCGTTGATTCCTTGGTTCGGTTCTTATGCCAATCACCTTATATTTTTAGAGTTGTCTTACCCTATTTTATTCCCGAAGTTAATTTAAATGATTTATTCGGGAATCGGGGTATTACAAATCCTCCCCCCTTAAAATGAATTCGTCCTCGAATTCTGAATTGCTTAACATCCATTCAAAAGCTTTCCTTAAATTCCATAAAGGTTTATTACAGTACAACCTCGCTTGTTCGGACGTTTACAACATTTACACGAACAGTTGGGGATAGGTATCACGCATTTCCGCCTCGGGTTCCCATGTCATGTCGGAAGCCCCTTGGGATCTCCATACCACTTTGATGAGTGGTATTTCCTTGGTTCGTAGCTTCTTGACTTTCCGGTCCACAATCTGTAGTGGTTCGTCTCGAAATCGCATAGCGCTGGTGAACTCCAATTCCTGCGGTTGTATCACATGGGAAGGATCTGCCACGTACTTCCGTAGCATCGATACGTGGAATACGTCATGCACGTTTCCCAACTCTGATGGTAGTCCAAGACGATACGCTACAGCTCCCACTTTTGCAATCACCGGGTAGGGTCCGATGTATCTCGGCTTCAGTTTCCCACCTTGTCCAAACCTCGCATGCCCTCGCATTGCCTGAACGCGGAGGAAAGCTTGGTCTCCTACTTCCAAAGTGAAGTCTCGTCTTCTCTGATCCGCATAAGATTTCTGTCTGTCTTGTGCGGTCTTTAGGTTAGCACGAATCTTCCGAATCACTTCCGTCGTCTCTTCAACGATTTCAGGTCCGAAAGTTCTGCGTTCGCCGATCTCGGTCCAGCATAGTGGCGTCTTGCATGGCCTTCCGTACAGTGCCTCATACGGTGATACCCCAATACTCGCGTGGTGACTGTTGTTGTATGCGAATTCGCACAACGTCATGTACCGATCCCACGGAGCTCCCCACTCTAGTACACATGCTCGGAGCATGTCCTCTAAGGTTTGGATGGTTCGTTCTGACTGCCCGTCAGTCTGGGGGTGATATGCTGTGCTCATCTTCAACTTTGTACCCAATGCTCCCTGTATGGCCTTCCATAGACGAGATGTAAATCGAGCATCTCTATCGGATATGATTTCACTTGGCACTCCATGCAGCCGTATGATCTCATCGACGTATATTTGTGCCAACCGCTCGATCGGGTACTCCTGTCTGATAGGGATGAAGTGAGCGGATTTCGTTAATCGGTCCACAACCACCCAGATG